TAGCGCATCACGATCCGACAGTCCCACAGTGCCGACGCTTCTGAAGTGGCAGTTGAGGCGGTCTTACGACAAAAGGTAAGTGACGCTTGGCGACAGACGTCATCTTTTTCCAAACGTCTGCAACCTGCCGAATCTCGTTACAGTACTTTCGGTTGAGAACTATTAGCCATTTATTTATCCATACGTCATTTCTGACATGTTTCAGGAAGCCGCTTCTTTGCCGTCTTCACTGACCACAAACCCCTGACTTACGTGCTTAGCTCGACTATCGACCGATACTCTCCTAGAGAGTCGCGCCACCCAGACTATATTACTCAGTTTACGACCGATATACGACATGTCTCAGGTGTACACAACACTGCCGCCGACGCACTTTCCCGAATTCGAGCGATCTCCGCTGACGTTGGTGCTGCTATCGACTTGGCAGCCATGGCCGCAGCGCAATTCAATGACCCTGAGGTTGTTATACTACGCAGGTCTATCTCACTGGACATACGACCCGTTCCGCTGACATCATCATACGGAACTATACTTTGCGATTTATCTCTGGGTACGTCGCGCCCGGTCGTTTAACGAGAGTTTCGGCAGACCGCGTTCGACACGTTGCACGGCTTGTTTCATCCAGGCGTTCGTGCATCGGTTAGACTCGTAACCACATGGTTCGTTTGGCGCAATGTTAATCGGGACGTCCGTACTTGGGCAGCTGCTTGCCTTCCGTGTCAACGCGCGTAAATGCCTAGGCACGCGAAAAGCTCAGTAGGAACATTTCCCACGCGAGATGCACGCTTTCACCACGTGCACGTCGACCTCGTAGGTCCTCTGCCGCATTCGAAAGGCTCTGTATATCTACTGATCTGTGTCCATTGATACACTAGCTGAACCGAAGTCATTTCCATACCTAACTGCTCTTCGCAAACGGTAGCGAAAGCTTTTCGGGAGCGCTGGGTAGCTCAATACGGCTGTCCCGCCATCGTGACCACCGGTCGAGGGTCACATTTCTCGTCGACTTATGCCACGTTGCTTAGGGATTTAGATTGTCGCCACCTTCAGACGACAGCGTATCATCCGGCCGCTAACGGCATGGTGGAGCGTTTTCACCGCCAGTTGAAGGCAGCGCTGCGTGCGCACGCAGATCCTTCATGGTCTGAAACACTTCCTCTCTTCCTCCTATGCTTAAGAAACACTGTTATAACTGACTTCGACGCAACGCCAGCGCAGCTAATCTACGGTTGCACGCTGCGTTTGCCTGGACAACTGGTGACACCAGTCCCGTCTACTTCCTCCTTTGAATACGCAAGTTACACCGACCGATCGGCTCACCAGATGCATGAGTTACGCCCGCCCTATTTACGATTCAGATGGGACTGGAACGATAGGAAAATCCCTTGAGTGTTTCTTCTTGAGCGGATCGTTGAGCCAGAAAATAATAAGGTGCTACGAGGTCTTGATAGATCTAAATCGAAACACCCGAACACACCCCGGTCAACCAATTACTACCTACGTTCCCTTCACTACAGTCCCCGCTGTGTAGGTCACGTGAAGTAAGGAAGACGTGGAAAGAAAATGGAAGATAAAGAGGAAGGGGTCATTTAAATTAAGGATAAGACCAGAGTGAGGAGGATGACAGAATATGAACTCAAACTTGGAAGATGGATATGGTCAGGAGAAGGGAACGGTTTCGTGTTGCCACCCAAGAGCGTCTAACTGACGCTCGAAACCCTTAACCGTAGGTTCACTGACTGCACTTTCTGGAACCGAATTCCAGCGCTCGATAACTACGCGATAACTGAGTTTCCGCCCTGGTCACATTGTGCTCCTAGTCAGCAGGGAGCTTTCTTTTGGATTCCAACAGGTTCATCCATCTCTCAGTGCTGCATGGACGACTCAAGGTCTGTCTCAGACGTTATGATCGAGCTAGATGAAGTGTTCGGGATCCGCAGTTGGGTCCTACATCAGATATGACAAGTTTACGAAACCAGTAGCACTCTTGTAATCATTCCTTCGTTTCTGGTTCCTGCACATTTTATCTGGCATAACCACTTTCTGCTCCTTTCTGTTGAACTAGCATTGCACTATACTTCAACTCGCGGAACAAAATTGACAAACTGGCATCTCAATGTCCAATCCAGAATTGCGCGACTGGAAGCTAAACTGCATTTCAGCCCTTCCGCTGTTACTCCTATGGATCGGAGACTCGACCACATCGCTTTGGCGCACAGGAGACTGAGTTTCCGACCACCGGTGCCTCCGCGGCATTTCTTGTCCCGTGAAGCTATCAAGCGAACATTGACGATCTCTTCCAATCGGTGTCTGTAACATCTCCTCTGATCCAACAATAAATCATCTGATCTTGCCCGCCTACGCCAAGTTGGTCATGTTCATCAAAATGGTCTAAGCTGCTTGCCCCTACGTGTATTGTTTGCCACTTTTCTGCCTTGTTGGGTGAACCTCGAGGAGGCTAACCAACAATATAGCAAAATCGCATGTAACAGCCTAGTCAGTCTGGTAACCCTCATATTTCTGTATGGGACACTCGAGACAGACCACCTCAGCGGCTGCGATCCTATCTGACGTGGCGCAGTCGCCGAACCAGTTGCACATGTGCATTTTACTGTTGATCCTTCCGTCCAATGATCGCAGCGTATTTTTCGGACTTATTCCATTGCTGTTTTGTGTGTGCGTGTGTACATATTCCCCTGTATCTTCCTTCTTTTTCACTGTTTTTCCACAATTCACTGACCTTGGTTAAATATATAAAAAATACGAGCAATTCAATTGGGGGGATTTTAATTATAATTTTAATATGTCCATCCCAGCAGCTCACAAGCTACATGGCACAACTCCCAGTGCGAAAAGGCACCAGACGCGCGTCTCGCCCTATTAGGGCTCACCAGTTGTGCGTATCATTCGGTCCCCTGCTAATGACCGAACCTAACCACTGTCTTTCATGGCTCAGTGGCTTAAACTTCTGGCTGGTTGGCATCAGCCCCTAGCGCGTATAGATTCCATCCCCGGTAGGGGACCGAAAAATGCGAACCATTGACGATCCCCAATAGGGCGCAATGCACGTCTGGTGCTTTTCCGTATTGGGAGTTGTGCTGTGTAGCTTATGAGCTGTGGGGATGAATACCACAAATTAATGTTAGAAGTGCTTGACTTTCGAGGATCCTCACCTCCACCCTTTGATTCCATTGCCCGATCATCTTGGCAGTTGGATTTAGATTAATTTCCTATTGAGATTTATCACAATCACACCCAGTCAGGCAGTTGTTGCACATCCATAAAAGCACCGGATCGCCGTTTTCTCCTTTCGGAAGTCGTCGGCAGTGCGCACTTCATCTGTCCGCTATAAGGCTAGCACCCGCGACCAAACGGATCCGCATCCGTGGTTGAGCCCATTGAGCCAAGGGAGATGGAGGGCAGCCACCGTGACGAGGTAACGGACTGTGATATGGCGCCTATACTCATCGTCTACTGTCACGCGCGTTTCCAACCTGCAGGGGACAGGGTTGGCCCCACTGAGCAGCGAACTTCCTCTGCTGAGTCGCCATCGTTCGAGCAAATTACAAGCTAGGTTGGATAATTACTGGTTTTTAGGGAGTGGTGCAGAGTTATTTATAAGCATCTTGAGGCCGGTCATGCCAATCGGGTCTACTTCGCTTTGGTACTTGGACCATTTCTAATTAACCTAACTTTCGGCGCTGATTGGGCCACCTTTTTCAAGTACCTGTCTCCCGTCTACTTCTGTGCTTTTGACTTGCTAAAGGTATGTTGGTTTAAAGGAACAGCGATGACGCTCTGGTCTGAAGCACTTAACAGGTTGACTCGTTGCACTCGAGCACGTCGCCTTTCTAGATAGCATGCTTGACGCAAGCTTCCTTGAGGTTTGGAAACCCTGTTGACATGCTGTGATCCGCTCTGTGTATGCAAGAATACTCCGACTTTTAGCCTTTCGATGTTATGTATCAACACTATTTCCGCTTTTGCTTCATTACTCTTTCTCTTCGTTATCTTGACGATGTGAGATTTGACATTATGATTTGTAACACTGTCAAATGCTTACCTTTCCAATTGCCCTTTTCAATTTTGTTTTCCAAAGATTACTGTGCAGATTGTTTTAATTCTTGCAACTGAATTACGCTCATTCGAGTTTCCTTTGTATTATTATTGCTGTTTGTTTCGTACGTTTCTATGGTATACTTGCTCGTTGGGTCATGTTTACAATGTCACCGTCCGAGCGATATTGCTATATGAAAGCGAGTCGTGGTCAGTTCGCATGGATGATATGCGCCGGCTCTCGTCTTTCGAAAATGAGTGCTTGAGGAGGATTGCTCGTGTATGGTGGCAACAGCGTAGCTGCAGCAGTGAAGTCATACGTCATGTCTTAGAGAATGCGAGTAATCCTTTCGACAATCTGCTTTTACTGCGTCAGTTAGGATGGCTTGGTCACGTCCTGTATACGTCAGCTGAGCGTTTGCTTCATTGTGCCTTTTTCTCAGGTGTAGTACTTCACTGAAAGAGACAACGCGGTGGTCAGCCGTCCAACTGGCGACAGCATATGAAATAGTTGACTTCACATCTTGCTGCCGTTGGATCCACACCTCTTCCTTGTTGGAGTGCAAAGGACGTAGAGTGCTGGTGGCTGGAAACAATTCAGAATCTGGCGCGCAGTCGAAACCATTGGGGGATCTGTGTACATACTTGTTTAGATTCGGATCATTAATGCTTAAGGAGAAAGGCATGTGCAAAATAGCAAAAAATCTTCCATTTTCCTTTATTTCGGCACAATACCTGAAGTGTGTTGCTCACCTTCAGCTGGTGTGCCGTAAGTATGATGCGGTGCTTAAACTTGTTTTCTTCCAATGATTTACATGGTTTTCTTTGACTCTATGTCTATCCGATAGATTTGCTAATACTACTACTACTGCTCGGTCCTGTCGTCTTCGGATCCACAGCTCGTGGTTGTTGCCTAACTCGGATCACACTGCACGTCAGGTCATATGACTATTTTCAGATGTATCCAAGGCAGCAAACTATATGAAGGTCTAATCGACTTTTTAACCCTTAATGGATGTGAGTTCTTTCTCATTCAGCCTTCTTGACTACGGATTCATCGAACTTTGTCACTCAGTTCCCGCTAATTACATTTAGCGCTTGAACACTGTTGTCGCTGTTATCTCTGGTTTCAAACCGTTGCTTTCTTCTGTTTTTCAGCGGGCAACCACTGCCACATGAAGCAGTCTAGCGATATACCATGGGTTGAAAAATACCGACCTACCTCTTTATCAGATATCGTAGGCAACGACGCTACCATTTTACGTCTGACTGCTTTTTCCAAAGACGGCAACGTCCCGAACATCATCATCGCGGTAAGTTTTGCCTTCACTTTCCCCCTTGATGTGTTTCGCCCTCCAGGGTCCCCCAGGTTGTGGTAAAACTACCAGCATCCTTTGTCTTGCTCACACACTGTTGGGTGACTCCTACCGAGAGGCGGTTTTAGAATTGAACGCCTCCAACGATCGGGGTATTGATGTTGTGCGTAACAAGATCAAAATGTTTGCCCAGAAGAAAGTAACCCTACCCGTTGGAAGACAGAAAATTATCATACTCGATGAAGCCGATAGGTAAATGTCGGAACTATTGTCCAGTATAAACTGCATCGTGTCAACATCTAATCAATGCCATGTCACTGGCATTGATACATTGTCCTCAATTCTCTTTCTACCGGATTAGGCTACAGATAAGCGCCGTGTTTTATGGCGCTACATCTCTATATGCTTGAATTTCGATGTACCTGTATCTGTGCCATAACGCTGCGTGCTTGGATCTTGTCGAAGACAAATCTGATTGGCATGTTTGATTCGCTTTCAATTATTATCAGAATATTAGACAACGGCATCAGTAGCGCACCGGTAACCGGTTCCGACACTTCTCTGCCACACGACCAGCAACAGTCGCTTACAGGTTGGGGATACTTCGAGGTCGCCCTTACCGGTGACTTGCTTATTACGACCCACACGTCCGAACCACTCGGCCACCAGTGAAGGTATTAAACACAGGTACACATCACTTCGGCCGATTCCCTGCGACACAGTGGGTACCACCTTTTTCGAAACTCGTCTAGCTAATGTCTCATACAGCTGCTTCGAATGCATCCACCAAACCTGGCTTTTTGTAGCGCTCCCGTAGCAATTCATGTCACCGCGTTCCTCCCCATTGTTTTACCGAAAGGAACTGCTTAATGACTTCGTCACCCTCGGCGGCGGCGGCGGCAGTACATCTGCTCTTCATTGACTTCTGTTGTATTCGTGCAACCGACATCGACCTCATGACACTTCGAATGTTACGGACCTTTGTCTGCATCGTTTCTTGCTGTTGCACCTATTCGAAGGAAACCCCATAGTAACCACTCGATAACATTGCATGCGAACATGAAGAAATGAGTCGAAAAAGTCCGTGCGTTAGATAGTAGTAGGGGACTTATCTTTGCAAAGATTCGTTGCAGCTAGACTCAGTCAGATGGCCACCAGTGGCAGAAGTCGCTGACTTGTAAGAGTAATGTCACAGTTTCGGATCCAGCAGGATCCGGCGAGTGCACACTACTGACGAGTTCCAATAGGAAAAAATTGCCATCTAGCGTGTGGTTGGTTATATGATGGCTGTCTGGCTAGGTATAGCTGCGACTAATCTTCTCAAAAACACAAATCCCCCTACTACGCTCTAAGCAGTGCTCGGCTCCACAGCTTACACACTACCTCGATTGATGGCGTCTTGTGCAGGCATTCGTAGCTTTGTGGGCTAGCCCTACCCATGGCACGTTCACAACACTCAAGACAGTGGAGGATGAGCCGCGCTATATCGCGGTTAGAAAGCAATCGTGGCTGTCCACCGCCGTCACCCATTGCCCACTAACATAAGTCGTTGACTCGTAAGAGTTAGGTTATGAGTTCTTATTCTGCAGGTGCGCGTTACTGACAAGTCCAAATAGGACGAAACGGCCGTATGGTGCTCTCCTGGATGCGTGTTGGATATCTGGCTCAGTCTAGCTGTGATGAATCTTCTTAAAAATTTCCGCTTGCTTTATATACAATCCTCTTGATTTGGGTCTTCGGGCATCGGATAGACCTCAATCGCCGCTGGCGGTACTTTGGCATATGGCCTTTCCCTTTTTGTGCTTTAACTTTTCAATCCAACGATAGTGTCTTCTGTCCTCTCGTCTTTTTCGGTGAAACTTTGTTTTTTATATCATCACCGTCTCTTTTTTCTATTTTATCATAGTGGCAGTTGTTTTACCGCACTGAATACATAGTCATCTGATCCTACTGGACAGATTGCCTCCATAATAATTGTAATGCTATACGATAACCACTCCCCTACTTATTCGGCTCTGCTCTTATCTCGCCTAAAATTTGGCGCACGTCAATTTTCTAACAGTCAGCTGTTGATTACATCTCTCCTTCAGCATGACTGAAGGGGCTCAACAGGCTCTTCGTCGCACAATGGAAATCTATTCCCGCACCACTCGGTTCGCACTAGCTTGCAACGATTCTTCCAAGCTCATTGAACCCATCCAATCGCGCTGTGCCGTGTTGCGTTACGCCAAACTCACATCCGCTCAGATTATGGCACGTTTACTGGAAGTATGTCGCACTGAGGGTGTTTCTTACACCGACGAAGGTCTCGAAGCGATCGTTTTTACCGCGGACGGAGACATGAGGCAGGTACGTGAGTTATTTGTCTTCACAAAATCGATTTTCTATTCACATACACACTATCTTTGTTGCGTTTTCCAAACAGAAACCGAATTTGGTTACCACTGATACCAATATGTTTATTTATTTATTTATTTGTCTATTTATTCACGACAGTTTTGTAAATACACATGATCAACAGAAACCGTGTAATTCAAAATGGATTGTGGTTATCCTGAGACTAAATCAGAACACACTACGGAAAATCTATGGTTTATTCAGAGGACGCGATACTTACCAGTTGCTCAACGCATGCACTAGTGAGTTGACTTAGCGGAAACCACCTTGAGTCTTCAGCTGAATGGCCTACTCGCAAGACATCGAGGGGAAGTCAGAAAAGCGCGCTTTTGGAGAACAACTGACCGAGTTTTCATCTCCTACACTAAATAGAGCCCAATATATTTTATCCTCATTGCACAGGTTAGTTAGAGTTAGGAAACAGTCCAGCTATTGTGCCCAAGGGAAAAATAAGACGAAACATCTTATCATGCATTAGGACAGATCGCGTTTGTACGGGGATGCTAATCATGATAGTGACGAACAAAGAAACTCACAACACAAACGCCATTGAGAGCGGCTATTCGCCATGTCAACAAGTGTATTTAACCAAACGTACCCATCATCTTGCGGACCAAAGGCAAGAAGCTGAGTGGCTCCAACCGGTGCCAGCTTCGAAGTGATGGACTACATTCCTCTTGACCAAGCTATCGGTTGGTCTCCTCTCTTCTCTCCCTACCCCTGTGTCTCACAAACGACGCACATCGCGGGAGCCTATGTGCTGGCTGTGTAACTCAGGGCTTAGTCATGCTTTAGCCATCGGAGCCTGGTGCGTGATATAACGATGTTGTACGGTTCACTCGCTCTTCCTGCGCCCACTACGAGACAATGAACACGTTACTTGTTCGCGCAGTGTTTCCACTAGACGTGGACCGAATCCCAAAAACAGTGATAACCGAATGTATCTAGTCTCTTTATGTCGGTCGATGTAAGGTACGTAAGGTTTCACAATCGTATATGAAGGTTGAACGGACGGCTGTATGTTGAACTCTATGCTTCAGAGCGAGAGTGATATCGTCCCGACGTCATGAGTGGCAAAGTTGAGCAGAAACGCCCCGAGCCTTGGCTATCCGGTTTATACCCCCAGGCAATTAGCTTTCTGATCAACTTTTAGTCGATCCCCACCAGGGGTCAGTGCAAGGAGTAGGTCCCTACTAACCTTGAAGAAGGACCGCATTTCGAGGGTACAACGCAAAGCCCTAACTAGCTGACTGGTGGTGCTCATTTGCTCATTGTTGCTTGGGATGTTTGTGGGTGGTTGCAGATGAGGACAATGTCTTCGGTATATTGGGGGCCCAACACACCCCATGATGTCAGCACTCATTCGCCGTACTAAACTGGAGTGAAATAAAGGGTCTTGACTTTAGTCAGTGGCGAGTCGCATCCGTTACGTCGCAGTGTTGTTACCCGGCAGTTTGTGACTTTTATAGGGAGAATGCTTGCTGGGTGAGAACACACCACATTCCGAAACACTCATTCAACCATTTGCTGGATCGGGAGATATCCAACTAATCCAGCTGACACCATGACGTGTTAGTTCGGAAAGCCAACCGTTGATACTGAGAGGAGCCTCGGCATTTCACAATACGATTCATGTCAAATCAGGATAAGCATTGCACAATCGGATGGGTCCGTGGCGCTCTTGCACTCTTTCCCCTCTTCTCTGCATCTCTGCTATTTCATCGCGCGATTTGTGTTCTAGGTCACTCTCAGATTATTATAATCATTGTTATTATTCATACCGGGATTATTTTGACAAGATGTACCAAGACAACTGGGCGCACTGCACCTCTCTTCCCTCATCATAATTGTTCAACTGAACTGATTGTGGTTGTCACTCGAACAACTGTTCGCGCGTCATAACAATGGCACTCGTTGGGTCAACATGCACAAGATGGATCTATGATGCAATGAAGATCGATAAAATCAACTCTAGCTTCTGTTCCTGCGTAGAGGGGAAGCATGTAGGGCTCGTGCTAAAGTACTGTACAATAGGTGAACGGTGTCATTTGGGGTCATGGAAGAGGGGATGTTTGTCAAGATTGCAATCAGGAAAATAGGTTACCATATATAGTGAAACGCTTTATCAGTGGCGTAATTATAAGGAAGTCATAAACATGACAATGATATTGACTTTCATTCATTTGTCTAAAAAAGGTAAACATTTCTTTAGCTCATTCGAAGTAAGATCACAGCTTCAAGTGGCTGATTATATGCTCGATGTCACGTGAATCTGCCGACTTTGTTCGATTCATTCTCCTCTGATGTTATCCCACGATACAACCGGTTCACCTGTCCCTGCGGGCAATGGTACATTCGATGTACGACCAGACACCTAGGAAAGAGAATCAAGCAACACTTTCCGAGATGGTGCAACAATGGCAATGATGGGACAAATGGAAACGAAACAACTAATCACCAACTCAACACAAGTCGCCAAATTAACGAGCGAACCTATTTCCAGATTCTCTATAAAACACCAGCAGCGTACGGCTATGGACTAAAAACTAGATTGCTTACTGCTGCGGAGGCGGAGGTTAACAAGACCCGACATATGCATACCAAAGACAATGGTATAATTGTTGCAACTGCCACGGTTTGCCACCAGAGGCGAATTAATCGAAAAAGTCGGCAGTTCACATGATCAACCACCTGAAACTGGGATCTCACTTGAAATGATCGAATCGATTGTTTACCTTTTTTCGTACAAGCGAATAATATGTAGTCATTTTATGAAGAGCATCAGGGAGAATAATTTGAGTTGGGTATAACTAGTGGTAGTACATAGAGACAGTAAACTAAACTAGAGACATTTGACAACTGAAAGCGTTAAAAGTAATATGAATTTATGAAGTATTTCACGCATATCTGTGGACCAGCGCAAGTTTTCTGGCAAAATGATGTTAAGATGCTTGGTTGCTGATGAGGCGTGTATGATTCGGTCACTCTTGGTCCGAAGAGAAAGATGTTCCCCCTCAGCTACCATTTCATTTGAACTACCCTTACCTGTTCTCCTAATCCTTTCTGATGCATCGAAGATGCCTCAATCGTGGGAGCTGGTTGGTGGCATCCAATTCCGGATTTGCCTGTCCTTGTGACCTCCACGTGGACAGACACAGGACGCCTGCTCCTACAGAGGGATCATGGATAGCTTGCGCTGCATCACCCACAGCTCCATCCACACACCCCATATCCAGTGTGAACCCGAAGGAATAAGACCGGGAGGCATGTGGATGGGAGCCAAGTTTCATCAACGGAGCCGGCACACACTCCTTCACAGGTAAACACAAGCACGTTGTATTTGGGATTCAGTCGCACACCAGCTCGTGGCGGGACCGTTGTCCGCTCCACACTGGATGGAACCACTGTTTAAGCGTAGCACGGCCACGAGGACCGTGCACCCCCGTCCCCTCTCTAGCAATGACCAACTGTCTCCTGGAACCAGTATGGACGAGGTAGTGGATAATAGACTGGTAGGCATTTTGTTAACATGCATATCAAGCGCAGCCACACCGGGGATGTCAAGCAGCACCCAGTCACATGAAATGAAATAGCCAATAAGATAGGTCAAAAACTCCATACGGATGTGCCGCTAAACTTGCAATGGTATAAATGGATTAACAACATAGCCGCGATAAAGTGAAGATGGCAGATAAACAGATCAATAAACACATGCAAAATGGAAAAACAACGAAGTTATACACCATTCGTTTAAGCGATATTTGCAATTTACTAGTTGATTTAGGCAGACATTAAAAGGAGGTAAGAAAATAGGCATTAAGACAAGATAGCCAACCCACTACCTGAAATAAAGTGGCTCAGCACGCAAGCACGCGGTTAGTAGATCGAATGCAGCGTACCTACGAACGAACCGCCTTCGATTCCCATGACCTGCGATCAACATTTGAACGTGATAGGCTCACTTTGATCATGTCCTGGTAATGTAACTTCGGTTTTTCCACGTGCCGCTTTTCTGCGCTCAGTTGCCCATATAACAGTTGCTTCGGTATCCGCGTCGAATCCATACGCCACACATGACCGAGCCACCTCCAGTGTCTCAGCAAAAGTATGCAGTCCACTCCATACATTCCACTTCAGTGCAACACCTGTATCCACAACTCTGTCGCACCAACCAATGTCCAGAATCCGTCGCAAACTCTGTTGATGGAACTGCTTGAGATATCGCACATCCCGCCGGTACACCGTCCACGCTTCGCTGCCGTATAAACGAACGGACAGCACCATCAATTTCGTGCCAGTGGTAAGCTGATGGTTGTTCCACACTCGGTAATCTAGCTTCCCGAATGCCGCAGCTGCCTACGGCACGCTGATACGTAGTTCACTGTGTAGTTGCTGGTCAGTCGACACCACACTCCCAAGGTAGCAGAAGCGGGAGGTGGTTTCCAATACTTCGTCACCAATGCTGATTCGCGGCACCATTGTAGATTGTACCTCCGGTGAAGGCTGAAAGAGACAGACAGTTTTGCTTGTGTTGATGGTGAGCCCGAATTTGGCCGCTGTCGAAGCCAGAGCAGTAGTCATATGCTGTAACTCATCCGCGCTATGTGAAAACAATGCACAGTCGTCAGCAAACAGCAACATACGGAAAGTTATCTCACAGACTAGAGTTCTCGCACCGAAACGACCGATGTTCAGCAACGCACCATCAATACGGTGCTCCACACGAACACCGTACGCACAAGCAGTATCAAAAGCACATCATTGCATGAAGATAGATATTAAACAGGGCAGGAGCTAAGACACAGCCTTTCTTCACACAAGAGACAACTGCAAAGTCATCTGACGTCTCTCCACGCAACTGCACCCTGTGCAGAGGTACAAATAACTTTACAAATTTACTAGGACAACCAAACTTGCCCAACACCAGCCACAATGCCTCGCGGTTCACCGTA